GGGAAATCAGCGTTGTAAGCGCTGTCGACTGCCTCGTCCTCCTCATCTCCTTCCTCCTCTTCCCCGTCCGCTGAGGAACCGGCCGCGGACAATATCCCATCCTCAGAGTCCACGGTCAGTGGTGGGGTAGTGGTGGCGGCCGCACCTAGGATACAATGCAGTGCCTCGTAGAAACGGGATGTGTGGGGCTGGGATCCGGAGCGTCCGTTTGCCTCTTTGGTCTTCTGGTAGCCTTGTCTCAGCTCCTTGATTTTCACGCGGCACTGCGTTGCATCTCGGCTGTATCCTCTCTCTGCCATGGCTTTAGAGATCTTCTCATAGATCTTTGCATTCCGTCTTTTGGAGCGCAGCTCGGAAAGCACGGACTCATCTCCCCACACAGCGATGAGATCCAAGACTTCCCGATCAGTCCATGCTGGGGCCCTCTTTCTATTAGATTGCACGGCCATCTCTGCTGGAGAGCTTTGCATCGTTGCCACTGCTGCTGAGCTCGCCACGATGTCCAAACAGGAACTGAGATTCAAACTGCCCAGACAGGAAAAGGAATTCAAATTTTCCCGGGGCTTTTCCTGTGTGGCTGGTCAGAGCATCCGAGCTTGGACTGCTGTCCAGAGCGTCAACAGAGTGGTGCACTGTGGGATAGCTCCCGGAGCTATTAGCGTCGATTTCCATCCACACCTAGCCTAATTCGACATGGCCATGTCGAATTTAGCGCTACTCCCCTCGTTAGGGAGGAGTACAGAAATCGAATTAAAGAGAGCTCTATGTCGAACTAAATAGCTTCGTGGTGTGGACGGGTGCAGGGTTAAGTCGATGTAACGGCGCTAAAGTCGACATAAACGCCTAGTGTAGACCAGGCCTTAGTTTCCATTTTTTATATGACTCCTTTTTATTTTTTAGATCATGCAAGATCTCGTGGTTAAGCCAAGGAGGTCTTTTGCCACATTTTCTATCTTTCCTAACCAGCGGAATAGCTTGCTTTTGGGCCCTTAATAGTGTCCCTTTGAAAATAGTGCCAACTCTCCTCAGTTGTTTTTCCCCTCAGTCTTGATTCCCATGGGACCTTACCTATCAGCTCTCTGAGCTTACCAAAATCCGCCTTCCTGAAATCCATTGTCTCTATTTTGCTGTTCTCCCTTCTACCCTTCCTTAGAATTGCAAACTCTATGATTTCATGATCACTTTCACCCAAGCTGCCTTCTACTTTCAAATTCTCAACGAGTTCCTCCCTATTTGTTAAAATCAAGTCTAGAACAGCTTCCCTCAAGTAGCTTTTTCAACCTTCTGAAATAAAAAGTTGTCTGCAATGCAGTCCAAGAATTTGTTGGATAGTCTGTGCCCCGCTGTGTTATTTTCCCAACATATATCCGGATAGTTGAAGTCCCCCATCACCACCAAATCTTGGGCTTTGGATGATTTTGTTAGTTGTTTAAAAAAAGCCTCATCCACCTGTTCCACCTGGTTAGGTGGCCTGTAGTAGACTCCTAGCATGACATCACCCTTGTTTTTTACCCCTTTTAGCCTAACCCAGAGACTCTCAACACTTCCGTCTCCTATGTCCATCTCTACCTCAGTCCAAGTGTGTACATTTTTAATATATAAGGCAACACCTCCTCCCTTTTTCCCCTGTCTATCCTTCCTGAGCAAGCTGTATCCATCCACACCAACATTCCAATCATGTGTATTATCCCACCAAGTTTCAGTGATGCCAACAATGTCATAGTTGTATTTATTTATTAGCACTTCCAGTTCTTCCTGCTTATTACCCATACTTCTCGCATTTGTATATAGGCATCTAAGATACTGGTTTGATCTTTCCTCCCAGTTTTGTCCTGACCCTCCTTTCTCTCTGCCAATATAGCCCACACTCCCTCTCATTTCCGACCCATCTCCCAGGTCTCCATGTTCCCCACTTACCTGCGGGCTTTGCTCACCTGTCCCCGTCGAACCTAGTTTAAAGCCCTCCTCACTAGGTTAGCCAGTCTGTGTCCAAATAGGGTCTTTCCCCTCCTCGAAAGGTGAACGCCATCTCTGCCTAGCAGTCCTTCCTTGAATAGCATCCTGTGGTCTAGGAAGTCAAAGCCCTCCTGGCGACACCATCTTCGCAGCCAGGCATTCACCTCCAGGATGCATCTGTCTCTGCCTGGGCCCCTACCTTTGACAGGAAGAATTGAAGAGAATACCACCTGCGCTCCAAACTCCTTCACCCGTACTCCCAGAGCCCTGTAGTCACTCTTGATCCGCTCAGTGTCACACCGCGCAGTATCATTTGTGCCCACATGGATGAGTAGCATGGGGTAGTAGTCAGAGGGCTGGATAATCCTCGACAATGCCTCCGTAACGTCTCGGATACGGGCTCCCGGCAGGCAGCATACCTCCCGAGATGAAATGTCAGGGCGACAGATGGGCGCCTCCGTCCCCCTCAGCAGAGAGTCTCCGACCACCACTACCCTACGTTTCCTATTCGCAGTGGTGGCAGCAGACCTCCCAGCCTTAGGGGTACGAGGCTTCTCCTCCTTTACTGTAGGGGGTGATGCCTTCTTTCCTGTATCAAGAAGAGCATAACGGTTACCTATTACCACAGCGGGAGCGTTCAGGGCAGGGGTGGTGCTCTGCCTGCTGCCAGAAGTAACCGGCTGCCAGTGTCCACCCTGAGCCATCTCCTCCTCCACCAGTGGTGTGTCAGCAGTCCTGTGTACTGGGACAGCTACCTCAGCTGTCTCCACATGGACGCTGTCCAGGAATTGCTCGTGGATCCGGATGCTTCTCAACCTAGCCACCTCCTCCTGTAGCTCTCCCACCTGCTGCCTGAGAGATTCCACCAGCAGGCACCTTTCACATTGGATGGTCCCCCCAGCCTGGATATCAGTAAGTGGAAATTGCAAGTTACAGTCTCTGCAAAACCACCCCAGGATCTGGGTAGAAGCATCCATGCTCAGGCGCTCTGTCTGGCTACAGGCGCAGGTGGAGGAGACAGAAGCAGTGCTGGCACAGGTGTTGCGGGTCTTCCTAACCATCGTAAGCCTCCCTCTATCAAACTCCCGTCTGCAGCCCCCTGTCCGCTGAAAGGGTTGTTTAAGCAAGAAGTTTTGAATGTAGTTGGTTTATAGGTTTTAAGGGGAATAAAGGGAAAACAGATAGAACTGGCAAGGGACCCTCGCCCCTTCCCACTCCCCTTCCAAACTCCCTTGCGAAACTCCCTGTTAGCAGCCCCTGTTCGCAAAAGCTCTGCATGTGAACCCCTAAGCTCAATTAATAGCTTAGATCTGGTCTGGCTGCCACCACTCCCAAGTACTAATTCCCTTCCCTGGGTAGCCTTGAGAGACTTCTTCACCAATTCCCTGGTGAATACAGATCCAAACCCCTTGGATCTTAAAACAAGGAGAAATTAACCATGTCCCCTACTTTCTCCCACCAACTCCTGGTGGATCCAGATCCAACCCCCTTGGATCTAAAAACAAGGAAAAAAATCAATCAATCAGGTTCTTAAAAATAAGACTTTTAATTAAAGAAAAGAAAGGTAAAAGAAAACCCTCTAGGAGAGATTAGCATACCAGCTACTCTCACAGACAACAGATTCAAAACACAGAGGATGTTCCCCTGGGCAAAAACTTAGTACACAAATGAATACCCAATTTGATTATTCCTCTAATTGCACAAGACAACATACAAAAGAAAATAAACATAAACCTATTGATTCCCTTCACTAATACTCACTACTTGATAAGAGGCTGAATTTTGGAGCTTTCCCACTCCGATCCAAACTGAAACTGACCCAGACAAAGGGAATTTCCCTCCTTCCTTTTGAACCATCTTGTCCTCCCATTGGTTCCTCTGGTCAGGTGTCAGCTAGCCTAGGTGAACTTCTTAACCCTTTACAGGTAAAAGAGGCATTAACCCTTAACTATCTGTTTATGACAGAATTACTTCCAAATCCACGGTATTCATAATTCCTGTTCCAAAACCAATTCCTCCTAATATTTCGCCTACTATATCTCGCTTTGCTCGGCCACCAGAGGGCTGATGTGTTTTTTATCCAAGCGTTCAAAATAGGAAGGGAGTAGGGTATACATTCAACTTCTAGTTTTGACACATTTAGCCAGGTCCAATCCATACCAATTTTTATTTCTACCAATAGGGGGTCTAACAGTACCTTTACTGGATTAATCTGGGTGATAAACAGTTTAGGCTTCTTTATTGTAATGGGGTGCCCTTTTAAAATGTGTAGTCCCTGGTCCAGGTTTTAGTACGTGTCCAGGAACCATAAATTCAAATTACCATCGGGTATTGGACAGTAGCCCACAATTGCCGTTAACCTTGTTCCTGATTTAATGAGCCCATCCCACTCATATGGTAATAGTGGGTAGCTGGCGATCCACCTAGTATCCCCCCCAAAAAATCCTTTTATCTCAACCCCTATTTTCCAGGGATTTTGTATTCCTGTAATATTTAGAAGGTGGACCTTAAGTCCCACCTCACCTTTCCAGGCGGAGACACTGGTACTTCCTAGTGGTCTTAAAATTTGGCTGGTGGTTTTATTGTACCATTCCACGAGGCTCACCGGGTCACAAGTAGGGAGTGAATCATTCCTTAAATACCGGCCTATAAGGAGAGCTGTGGGTTTTTTTCAAAAACACTTTAATTATCCTGGTGCTGAAGGCTCCCAGAAGCAGATAAAGCCAAACCGTATACTGTGGTTTTATTTTCTGTGAATTAAAATTGTGGGGGTTGGACAGCACCTCGTGTTCAGGTTCCAGGAAGCCCCTTTTTTTGTAAAGAAATCAAACACCATTATTTATGCAAACAGCTTAATTAGTGAAACATGAACCCGTTTTAGTTTTCCGTCCGTCTCAATGCGGTATACCCGTGGGTTGAGGCGATTCACTATCAAGGGGGTGTGACTCGAACCAGGAGCCGAGAACGTCCGCGTGGGGGAGAGGGGCTAACGCAGGGTGCTGGGTGGATTTCAGTGTGGAGTCGCCGTTGCCCCAGGTGGGGAATCAGGAGAGAAGCTTCAGCAGGAGGAGCCCAGCGAGGGCTGGGAGGAGGAGCCTGGCTGGTCCCGGAGCCACACCCGCAGCGCGGGAGGTTGTGGTTGCCGGAGCTGCGCCTGTTGCATGGGAGGTTGTGGTTGCTGGAGGCACACCCATTTCGCCGGAGGCCGCTGTGCATTTGGCCGTGGTTAGATCTGCACTGATCCCTGCAAAGGTTCCCGAACCCACTTTTATCTGAGCGCAGATGGACTCAGAAGCACAGCCCTTTATGACGGTCTGCATTGGGATTGCACCTGTGTGTTTTGGGGGGAAAGCAGGCGATTGTCAGGGGAGCAGCTCCCAAGCTGAATTAGGACACAACAGCCCCCCGCCATCTTCAGGGCCCCACGAAGGTGCCCCACAGCCTCCATCTCCCCATCTGCTCCCCCCAGCCTGTCTGGCCCTGGATGGTCTCCCCTTTCTCCTCTGATGCAGACTCGCTGTGTGTCTGTAAACAAGTCACTTGCAGCCCCGACCCAGAGCCCACCAATGACACCTGGATTGGATCAGGCCTCTATTAGCCCCAACACTCATCTACAAAGTGGCAGCTCAGTGCTGGTGGCAGCACTGGGATCTCTAAGAAGGGTGGCTTTGCAGTGAATTAGGGCACTCTACAAAACAAGGTTCAGTTCACTGCTCTGTGTCAGTTTCCCCATCTTTAAAATGGGGAGAATGCTCCTTGTTTTGCCTCTTTAGATTGCAGCCTCTTTGGGGGCAAGGACTGTATCTCACTAGGAGTCCTTCAGCACCCGGCACAAGAGGGACCCGGATCTGGGTCAGGGGGTCTGTCCAGTGCATGGCACAACAGGGGGTCTCAGGACGAGGCCTGCCCTTACCATGAAGAGTTTACAAATAAAACTATAGACAGGCAATAAATGGAGGAGAACCAGACACACAGGGAAGTAAAGACACTGGCCCAAGGTCACACTGGGCGCCAGCGCTGGGAACAGAACCCAGGAGTCCTGATCTGCTGCCGAAACCTTTCCCTAGCGGCCCCCACCCAGTGTCTCGCTTCTGCCCGACGGGGGATAAAACAATGAAGGATAAATAACCCCCGAAGAAATGAACTGAGGTTACCAATAGTTATGAACCCTGCGGTATCAATACAGTGAGTCTCGGATCCAGTACAATTTATGGTCTCTTCACGGCATTGCTCAGAGGACAGAGCGTAGCAGGCTGGGCAGCGCCGGCCGTTGGGTTTGGTGTCAGCCGGGGGCACTGGGAAGAAGCGGAGCAAACGCAGTCAGCTCGGGGGACGAGCCCCAGGAGGCGTCGGGGCAGGGAGAGCAGCTGGGGGCTGAACAGCTCAGCCCTGGGTGCCCCCTGCAGGGGGAGCTGTAGCTCTGGGGACGCCGGGGGCAGCAGGGGCAGGGGAGAGGTTTGCAGCAGGGACCCCTGGATCCCGCCCTGGGTGGGGTCAGCTGGGTTCACACTGGTGGGAGCCTAGAGCCCCGCCCACTAAACTCCACCCAGCCAGGGGCTCAGTGTTATTCAATGGGGTGCCCCCTGCAGTGCGGGAGGACCAGGCTCAAGAAGTTAATGTGGGGTAGGTTCAGGGGAACAGGAGATGGAGGAGAGGGGGGAGGAGAGGCGGAGTTGCGGAGAGGTACCTGTAATCGGGGCTGGCCTGCAGGTGTCTCCCACGCAGCAGGCGACGCTCGTCCTTGTTGTCATTCCGTTCCCAAAATTCATCGAGACGGGGCCGGCTTTACATTGGGTGGATGCCGCACAGCCCTGGAGAATGTTCTGGATCTTCATTCCCACTGCACAAGACGAGACAAATGAGATTTGTTCCCCTTCCACTCCCACCCCATCAACACCCTCTGCACAATGACACCCGGTGCCATTATCTTCCCTCTACCCAGGGGGAAACTGAGGCACAGATCGGGGAAGTGACTCACCTGAGGTCCCGCAGGTCTAGAGAAAGCCCTTTCCTCACCTAAACCCAGCACTTAGCTCCTCCTGCTCCTCACTCAGCTGCCACCTAACCCTGGGGGCCCCGAATCTTCTGCTCATAAAGTCCTTTCGCCGCCAAAGTTCCCACCACTGGGTACGTGCGGGGCTGCTGAAATCTTGATGCCCAGCGTCCAGCCACCCCTTCGCCGCAGCGGGATTCACAGACCTGATGTTCCCCTGACGATCTCACCTGCAGGGCCGGAGCCAGGGGACGCCCTCGGAGGATGCCCGCCAGATCCAGCCCTGCACAAAGCCAAGCCGAGCAGGAGATGGGGGCGGGGTGGCCCCCGTATATCCAGGAGCCCAGTGGGTCAGACGCTCCCCGTGGACGTGGGAGGCTCAGGTTCCAGGAAATGTTTAACTATTTCATACAACACGGGGTGGCTTCCACAGGGGAGACTGAGAGACCTACCCTGAGGCCAGGCAACCAGGCAGGACCGTGGGTGAGGAGAGATCTGGGCTGAAGTCCTGGCCTCATTTAGGATGAGTGAACCCAGCCACGGGGGTCTCCTGCACCACCATCTTTTGCAAGGAAGGGCTGACCTGGTTCGGAGCCCAGACGCCCGGCGAGGGGTTCCCGGCCGTGGAGCCCAACCAGAGCTGGGCGCGGATTTGGGGCTGAACTCTGGGTGAGGGGCGGGGCTTATGCCACACCCCTTTCCTCGGTATTTCCTATTGGCTGGCTTAGGCGGCTCCTGCTCGCCGTGCTGGCTTTTGCGCCTCCCATCTTCAGTGGGCCCCTGACACCGTGGCTGGCTAGTCGCCTGGATTGATTCTCAAGCGCAGCTAAGGGGGACGCATGTGGCCACCAGAGGCTTCAATTGCAGCCGCTGTGACTTTTGGGGGCCCCGAGCCCCTTCCCTGTTGTAACACTGACAGACCCCGGTCGGCAGCGGGCGGGATCGAACCTGGGACTTCGGGAGCGTAGTGCACGAGCCTCTACCACATGAGCTAAAAGCCGCATGGCCCTTAGCTAAGGCTGTACAGCAGACTCATTAATTGCTTTCTAAGTGGTCTCGGTGCCACTAGATGGGACAGAGCACCACACCCAGGAGGGGTGTGGGTTACACCGGCACCGGCTCTGCCCCCTGGAGCAGCACTGTGGGCCCGGTGGTGTTTCCTTAGAGTGCCGTAGGGCGGCTGGCCCTGTCTGTGGGAGGGAGGATCCAGCTTTGTCTCCTCTCCCCCTTTGCCGTGACTGAAATTGAAAATCGTTCCCTGTTATTTACAACAGCTTTGCGCCGAAAAAAGTCTGAGACGCTTTCCTACAGCAAACTTGTTCTGTTCAGTTCAAACGGTTAGTTCACAACCAGACTGTGTCACGTTGGTGGTATTCTTCCTAGCACGTCTTCTTCTTTACACAGTAAGGGCGTCTTCCTTTACTGACGTGGCAGGTCACACAGTCTCCAGGATGGTATCTGAACTGTCCAAACTGCAACCACTGTGAATTAGCAGTGGCTGCCTGGGCCTTTCCTCTGAGAACCACTGCTGGCAACGCTGAATCTAAAGCCCCTTTGGGGAGCTAGCCCATTGGCTCTGGCATAGAACCCAGGAGTCCTGGCTCCCACTCATTTCCTGTGCAAACCCATCCACCCCACTCCCGTCCCAGAGGAAGGTGTAGAACAGAACCCAGGAGTCCTGGCTCCCCAGCCTGTTTCCTGACCCAGGTTGATTAGGGTCCATCTCACCTACCCTGTATGATTTCGATAAGGAAGATGCCACAAGAGTCTTCCCCAGCGGCGCAGGTCTGCATGCTGCCCGTGCAGTTGTTTCCTGGTCCATTGCAAACCTCACACTGCAGACAGGTCCCTGGAGAAGGAGAGAGAACATGATGGTCTAGATTTGTCCCTCCCTTGCCCCCTCACCTTCCCTTGAATTTAACTGACCCCAGCTGTGGATCAGACCCCATTAACACCCGTGGGGCTACGGTCCACTGACCCTAACTGGGGATCATGTAGAAATGCCTTTTATATTGCCTTGAGCTCATGTGAGTGAAATTCAGATCTGTTTCCTTTCCGACAAACTCGTGAGAAAAACCCCTGTCGGGAAAGCCCTTTGGCCCCTGGCCAGCTCTGAAACATGCCCAGTCAGTTCACATTTCTAGTGATTTAAAGAATAAATATTTCCTCCTGTGACGTTATCTGAATGTAACCCTTCTGCCCGTCAGAGTTGGCAGCAACAAGGGCCAGGTGCAGTATCTAGGGGTGCCTTTTCAGTAACACAACGCAAAACCGGCTCAAGCCCCCACCCAGAGACTTGGGACAATTACACACACACACCCCGGCACCTCTAAGAGGCAATACTTCCCCTCTGGCAAGCACAGTCTGAGTGTAGCAAAAGCCTTTTCATAAAGGAGGGAAACAGTGCGGCATTGTGTTGGGGAAACACCACAAACAGGATTCATAACACAAACCATGAGCAACAGACCAAACAGTGAGTTTGGCAGTGTCCTTTTCCCCTCAGGGTCTTATGTCCAGCAACCCAACCGTCACGCCACCCACAGCTTCTGTCCTTGGCCAGAGTTCAGAAGTTCATCTGCAGAGTTCACCTCCCAGCCTGGGTGGAAGGGGAGGGGAGGTATGGGGGCACCTTACACTCTCCACTACTTGAGACCTCCACGGCCGGTTGCCACACCTCTCTGTGGGGTTCTGCTCCAGTCCTCTCCGCCAACCGGAGTATAAGTAATGTAAATGTGATGTCTGGAGTATAGGTAATGGCTTTCTGCAATGACTAGGCGAAATGCATGGACTTGTGACTTGCCCGTGTGACTCCAAACTCCATCTTCTGGCTGTGATTTTCCACAGTAAGAACAATGGGTTTCCTCTTCCACATCGCAAAGGATATAAAAGGCCCTGGAAACCCCTCCATTTTGTTTTCAATCCTGCTTCTGACCTCTGAAGGAACGTGTTTTCAAAGTGAAGCTCTGAACAAAGGACTGAATGACCCATCCCATCTGTAAAAGTACTCCAGAGACTGGACTTAAGCCTTCAGTTTATTCCATCTCTGCTACAAGCCTGAACCAAGAACTTTGCAACTGTTGTATGTATTTGATTCCTTTAACCAGTTTTAACTTTCTTTTTTTCTTGATACTAAAGGATTGGCATCAGCGTGATTTTGGGGTAAGATCTAAGTTATATTGACCTGGGTGTGTGGCTGGTCCTTTGGGATCAGAAGAACCTTTTATTGGACGAGACTGGTTGTCGAGAAGCATTCATCTCTGAACCCAGTGGTTTTGGTGGTGATATAGCAACTGGAATGTCTTAAGGAAACTGCTTTTATGACTTCTTGTTAGCCAGTGGGGTGAAGCAGTTTACTTTTGTTGCTGGTTTGGTATCTCCTATGAAGGATTAGTCACCAGTCTTGGGGTGTCTGCCCTATTTCTCAGCACTTCGTCCTGAATTTGGCATCCTCGGTTGTGTCCCACTAAGACACTCTGTCAGAGTGGTGTAGAATCATAGACGATCAGGGTTGAAAGGGACCTCAGGAGGTATCTAGTCCCACCCCCTGCTCAAAGCAGGACCAGTCCCCAACTAAATCATCCCAGCCAGGGCTTTGTCAAGCCTGACCTTAAAAACGTCTAACGAAGGAGATTCCACCTCCTCCCTAGGTAACGCATTCCAGTGCTTCACCACCCTCCTAGTGAAATAGTGTTTCCTAATATCCAACCTAGACCTCCCCCACTGCAACTTGAGACCATTGCTCCTTGTTCTGTCATCTGCCACCACTGAGAACAGTCTAGCTCCATCCTCTTTGGAACCCCCCTTCAGGTAGTTGTAGGCTGCTATCAAATCCCCCCTCACTCTTCTCTTCTGGAGACTAAACAATCCCAGTTCCCTCAGCCTCTCCTCATAAGTCATGTGCTCCAGACCCCTAATCATTCAGATGCAAGAAGTGAGGTTCTTACCCATGAAAGCTTATGCTCCCAATACTTCTGTTAGTCTTAAAGGTGCCACAGGACCCTCTGTTGCTTTTTACAGATTCAGACTAACAGCTACCCCTCTGATACTAGCTGTAATGGAGTGGAGGAGACAGAACCCCCCCACCAGGGGCCCCATCTCTCCAAAGATCCACAGGTGAGAGCGATGGTGCCCTCCATATAGTGAATCGGGGGACGTTGCTGAATATTTCATCACCTTTGACAGACTGTGCACGCTCCATGCAATTCCTGAAGATCAAAAGATGACTACTTTGGCTGCAAAATTGACTAGCAGGGAGTCTGGACTGTGAGGAAGATTATTAGGACCACATTTAGGGTGAGAACTCTCATGTAACCAGTTTCCTTAGTGTATTAAGCTTAGTTTGCGCGTTCTGTTTTCTTTTCTTTGCAATTTGCTTTGTTCTGTCTGCTACCTCCTTAACTACTTAAAATACACCGTTATAGTTAATAAATTTATTTCTGGATTATAATATAACCCAGTTTATGTGATTTCTAACTGGGGGGGGGGATTGAGAAACTGTATATACTCTCTTTCACATTGAGGGAAGAGGCGAATTTCATATAATTTTGGGTTTGAACTCCAAAGGAGGGTGGACATGTGGGTGCTGTGGCAAATCCCTTAAGCTGAGCCTTCTCAGAGCGGGTCTCTGTCTCTCTGTGCAGCTGGGTGTGGAGTGTGCTTGGCTGGAAAAGGCTGGGGAGCTTAGCCCAGCAAATCCAGGTAAAAGGGGGCTCAGGCTGGCAGAAGAGTGACTCAGTGGTGTCCCAGCACCCCAGGTGGTCCAACCCATCACCTCCCATTTCCAGAATTCTTTCACTCCTTGTCACGGGGACTTTGGGACTTCCAGCCCTCTCCTCCTCTGTCATTGTCACTCAGATGCTCCCAGCTAAGCCCCCGTTATTCTGTTGCTGATGATCCAGTTATGTTAATTAATAGCTTTACACAGCAGGCGGCTCTGGGCCATTGGACCGTTGGAGAAGTTAAGAAATCAGCCCCTGTAGGAACAGACCCCACTCACCCGTAGCCAGGAGAGCAGCGAGGATGCAGATGGCAAGAGAAACCTCCATGGTGATGGGGAAGCAGTGGATCGGTGCTGGGGTCTGTGATACAGCCAAATCTCTGGCCAGGGGATTGATCACAGATGGGCTGAAATGAGATCAGAAGAGGGCTTTCACATGCATGATCCAATCGACAGGGTGGTGGAACCACAGAGCCGTTTGCCATAGTTCTGGGATAGCTGCACCTCCGACCCCTTCGGGGCTGGAATGTTCATGACACCCACCCAGAGACGTCAGAGACAAACCTGAAATTCTCCTGCGGGAAGGTTGCAGCATAAGAGGACTTTTTTCTGGGACTCCAGAATGATCACCCCCAAGAGCCACTAACAAGAGGGAGACAAAGCAGCTGTTCCCTACAGCAGCGAGGGACGACTCAGCCCACCTGGTACTAGGCTGGTTCTTTGCAGACTGCCTCCGGCCCCACGATTCCTTGAAGAGCCCTCAAGACAGCCAGCAGGACCAGGAAACCCCACTCCCCCGATCCACACACTCTTAAAACGATATCTTGCCATTGCAAACAGTCCTCAGTACAAAACATCCATTAACATTCATATGGTGGAGGAGTGGAGTAGGGACTAGTGATTAGAGCGGGGGAGGTGGAGTTGGGAGCCAGGACTACTGGGTTCTGTTGCCAGCTCAGGAGGGAGTAGGGTCTAGTGGGTTAAAGAAAGATGGTTAGGAGCCAGGACACCCAGGTTCTAGCCCAGGTGTCAGAAGGAGAGTGGGGTCTAGTGATTAGAGAAGGAAAGGGCTGGCACTCTGGTGTGTCCCTGGTTCCAGAAGGAGAGTGGGGGCTAGTGGTTATAGCACCAACAGACCAGAGGGGGATCACTTACCAAATGCTCCTGAGAGTAAAGTTTGCCTGGGGTGAAGTCGGTGGCTAATTCTGCAGAGTGGAAAAGCTGTGCCCGTCTCTCGCTCTGCCCTGCCAAACTGGGGCTGTGTCTCTTTCACTTTTCATAGAAAGGCTCAGGTACCTGCTGTGATGCAATACAGGAATTTAAATGGATCTGCACGCGTCATCGGGGAGAGTCTGTACATTTCTCTTCCTCTCGCCGGCCCTCCCCACCCTTTGGACGTCTGTGCACACTGACAGATCCTTCTCCCTTCCTGCTGGGATGTCGAATTAGAGGAATGAGCGACACCAACTCCCCTGGGAAGACTTGGGGTGGCAAGGGGTAGCGGGTCACAACAAGGGACAGGGCGGCAGGACTCCTCGGTCCTACTCCTGTCCTTGGGAGAAGCAGGATCCAGTGGTGAGAGAAGTGATGGTGGGAGCAGGAGCAGTGGAGCCTTCCCCAAAATGGGGGGGGGTCAGGGGGCCATGCCCGCTGAGGTCCCACCCCACCACTGCTGCCTGAGGCCCCGTCCCCTCCACAAGAGGCCCCGTCCCCAGCCAAGCCAGAAGCCAGAGCAGGCCGGGGGGGGACCCCCCCCCCCCGGCCGGGGGGGGGGGGGGGGGGGTGAGACCAGGCCCTGGCCCATGTCCCTGCCACACAGGCCCCCGCCCAGGGCATGAGGGTCCACAACTCCCCGCAGCTCCCACCCTAACCCAGGTATGGCTGGGTGGGTGCAGCCCAGCCGTGGTAAGAGTTGTGCGGGCAGCTGTAGAAAGCTGCAAACCCTCCACCAGCCCGGGGCGGGGGGGCAGCAGAGCAGGGATATGGGCCAGGGATTGCCCTTGGCCCCCACGCCCCAGGCAGGTGGAGGGTCCACGGTGCAGCATTCCACAGGTTCCCAGGCTCCCTGGCCAGGCCCATCCACTTTAAAAAAGTGGGAGGGCCATGCCCTCTGGCCCCCCCATTCCCTGGCTGGGCACCAGGACACCTGAGTTCTATAGAGTGGATAGTGGGGCACAGCAGAGTAGGGTTGGGTGGGGTTTGGAAATCTGGGTTCCATTAGGATGTGGGGTGGGTTGATGCAGGAGGAATGGTGTCTGTCGGTCAGGACTCCTGGGTTCTCTCCCAGCTTGGGGAGAGGAAGGGAGTGGGTTAGAGCAGCAGTTGGGGAACCAAGACACTTGGGCTCTATCCTCCGCTCCACCTTGGGAAAGTCACAGGACCTGTCTCTCCTTTTTCACTGTATGCATTATAACAATATTACCCACCTCCAGCAGATCTCGTAATAACCTTTGCAGCATTCTTGGTACATTTCGGCCGGAGGGCTAAAGCTCTGAAGATGGTTTAGGTCCTTTCCAACCTTCGTTCCATTGACACGCACGTTAAGCCCCGTTGAAACACAGAGCGGAACAGAGCAACCTGGGCATGAAGAAGAACCAGGGCTCTGCAAAGCAGTCGAGATTCTACCATGCTGGCACCTGGCAAAATCATTCCAGGGGTTTCCATCACCTTCCTAATGACCTTGAGAACAGGCTGGTTTCAGGCTGGTTGTAATTTGAGCGTAGCCTCTGTGTCTCTTCCTCCTGTCCGTCAGCCTCAGCTCCCTCACACTGTCATAAATGTTATGAAAGAGCAGAGCTGGATTCCAACCCAGAGGAAACGTCAGATTTCGTCAGCAAAAAGACCCCTGAAATCCTCAACAATCTGAAAATCATAAGTTCTGCGCACAATATTGTAAAATTCTTCAAAATTCGGCATATGTTATCTGTCAAAAGAACACAGTATAATCCCACCACTTTCAATGATTTTGGTAATTTATTTCAAAATACCTGTCAGCAAGTATGTCTGTAACAGTACAGACAAGGAAAAAGAATCAGGAAATGTTTTTTGACAAATAGATTCCTTACTAGGCACATTAATACAGCACTCTGAGTGATCATTCATTTAAACTACACTACAGAATCATATTTCCTGCACTCCTCAGAAGCAGTGCAAAGGCTGGGGGGAGTCGGGGTAATGGAGGAGCTGAGGGAGAGGGAAGTAATTGCTGGGAAGGAGCCTGGGAGTAAACCTGGAGGGTTGTTGAGTGCGGGTGGGAGAAGTGTGGAACAGGTTTTTTTGAGGGGGGGG